AATGTATAATTTTGGGGATAAAACATGGAGGAACAGAATGGGAAGAATAAGCAAAATATATGAAGGACTTTCATTCAATAGACAAAATCTTCCAATTAATGCTTTATTCTTTTTTAAAGTATGGCGGGAATTAGGTTTTGTAGGGGTAAAGAGAACTTTCCCATCATCCTCTGAAGTTTTGATAAAGTACATCTTTGAAATAAACAGACATTAGGTCAACAGGAGAAAATGCTTCCAAATTTATTATATGCACAGGTATATCACAAGGGAAAAAAAGTGAGTACCCAACAATCCAGTGAAATGTAAGAGTTTATATGCTGACTTCAGTGGAGAGAGGGGAGGGGCATGTGGGCAACTTAGGGGAGATAATCGAGGTATCTGAACAACTGGTGATGGACTGTGACGTAGACTGTCTGGATGTGGTGTTAACCTTTGGTCTTCTTTCCTATGCTTTGAGTCAATTTCCTCCAATGAAGAGATTCCTGGGGAGGGGATATGACACAATTTTATTCTTTAAGGAGGATCCATTTTCAAGGTAGGCAAGGAACATTTAGAGAAAATTTCTGCCTGTGCTTTGGGGAAGAAAGAGAAATGAGAGACAGGAGGGCAAGAGGAGGTCAGAGACACCTTGGTTCTCATTTAGTTCAAAGCAGGGAGCAATCCAAAGTGCCATACTTTGGAGTATCATTTCCTGAGCCCCAGTAGTTCTTTCTAAAACATGAATCTCTCATGTATGACTATGTCTTTTACTGTTTGACTTTTAGACTCTGAATTTCTTGCCTTTCTAAAAGCAGCTTTATAGAAATATGCAATCTAAAGTATCAAGGGACTGATGAGTAGCAAGGAGATGGGACTTCCTGAGAAGAACCAGGACAGTGAGGGAACGAGAGGAGGTGAGAATGCAGAAAAGAAATTGCATCTTACTGCAGAAACATCTGTTCTTGGGGAAAGAAGGACATGAGGGGCCTTGTGCTTATAGAAAGGAAAATCCAAGTCAAATGTCACATCAGACTAGAGGGAAGGAAAGGCCAAGACCAGGAAACTAGGTCTGGGTCGAATGGTTTAACATGCAGAGATTCAGGTCTGTATTGTGAGATTCACAAAGATCAAGTTCAGGACCAATAATCAGAATTGCAAGTCAGCAGAACTCAGTTCACATAGTTGAGTACATGAAGAGCATATGCTATGCCAGGAACTTTGTTGAGTGCAGAAGGTGCAGCCAGAGATGCAAGGTAGGGTTTGTGGGTATCCAGGGCCTTAAATGTCAGGGGGCATTAGCAGGATGAGATGTGGGTAAGTGAAGGGCAATATGGGGTGGAGGATATCTTTTTTTAATTCATTTTAAGTTTATGGTTGAGGCCCCTACCATGAAAGACAGATTAACAGGAGATAATCACATAGATTATTTAAATGTTTTATGTGACACAGGAGTTTTCATCAGCAGATGAAAACCTGAAGAACTAGTTAAGCCTAAGTATATAGTTTTAATTAATAGGTTATTATAAAGAGTAGACAGTTGGCCTGATTTCCATCCGCAGTACCCTCACCCTGCCAAAAAAAAGTAGGCAGACATGGAGAAATATAATGGTAGAAAGCAGGTATGAACTAAATGTAATAAGTTAGGGAAATTTAGCAAGCCCTATTTGTTCAGATTTTTCTCTGTGTCCCTTTGAGGTAAGGATGTTCCTTTCCTTATGCTATAGAGAAGGTACCTTTCACACCAGGGTCTTATGACCTGCTTCAGAGGATAGTAAAATTTTCCTTAGATTTCATGACTTGTTTCAGGGAATAAGGGCAGAGGAAGTTCAGAGAGACCTTCCTGCTTCTGTGGTTTTTCTCAAATTCCTTCAGCTTAAAATACTCTGGAGTAGTGTTTCCTGAACCCCATCATTGGCAAAGGCAGGCAGAGATATGAGTGGATGTCTATTACTTTTGATTTAAAAGAAAAAAAGTCCCGTTAATATTAGAGTACACAGGGTTTTAAAGGAGGTACAAGTGAGTTTATCCAGTGACATTTCAGAGCTATATTCCTGAGTATTCAAGGGGACCAGAAACTGAACAAATGGTGGTGACATTCTTGAACATGAGTCTGGTAGCTCACTGAAGAAGGAAACTTAGTCTTCTTTGGGTCACAGGACTGAGTTGTGGTTCAGTAAAGTATTCACTCCTCTTTATATCATCCTTTCAAATTCTTTGTTAGTGACTTTGGAAGAGTAGTTTTTATCATCTCAGAAAAGATTTGAACACTTCAAAATAGATTCTATCGATGGGTATCAAAGTGACAATTGCGAAGCAAATTTAGCCTACTGACTTATGGTCTCTCTCTCTCTCTCTTTCTCTCTCTCTCTCT